GTCAATGAAAGGAGGTTTCCCTTTCCAAGAGGACCCCTAAGTGGTGGACTGTCCGCAGAAATTGACACAAAACACAAAATAGTGCCATACTTAAGAAAACCCCTGTGAGAACTGCTGGTGAGTTTCGATGGCAGTTTCACTGGGGCAAAATGCTAAAGCTGATGGAAATAATCAGTTTAGTTTTCATTTTCTTTCCCCAGATGATGATGTGATCTAGTATGCATGATGCTATGTAAGACACAGGCTATGTCCATGAGAGGTGGCATTAGAGAGCTGTGTACCTGTCAAGGATATTGGGATAAAAGCTACAGAATGTGACTCTTGGTAAAAAGAGAATTTGTTGGAAGGGTATAGAGGAGCAGCAGGACTGGAAAAGTAGATTCAGAGCAGGAAAAGGACTGAGGGGGCTTCAGGAGTCCATGGGCTCATCAGAGTGCTGCTGCTAGCTGAATGGGGGCTCAGGGTCAGATTCTTGGGAGGAGGATCTTACTGGATCAGCAGGGTCATCCCTCTCTACCCCTTTCCTCCCGCGGTTAGTGCCAACAGGTTTCTTACTGAATGATCTTATCCCACTGTATCCAATGGAGGAGGGGTAATTCCTTAGAAGAACACCACAATGGTGTTATTAAAAGAAGGGAAGAATTCATGTTTATCTGCCCAAAGACATAATTGTCCACCGCACAGTGTAATGCGCTGTTGATCTTATGCCATATTTTCTATGGCTTTTAGCTCTTAGTCTATATAGTTTGTCAGAAGAAAGGGAACATGTAGGAAGAGAATGAGAAATACTCTTATCATTGCATACTATACAACCTGAAGAGGTGTGAGTAGTTCGCATGAGCACCAGGTATAAATGGTTAAACTCAAAACTCTAATCTGCTGCCATCGGTAAAGATGTTGAGCTTTAATCCACAGGAAGAATCACGGCCTTGACTTTTTGCCTCATGGGGAACTCTGTCTTAGCTGGCATCTGGATTTTAAGATATTCTTTTTTTACCAAATAGAGAAGTTAACACAATCTCCCTCCTTGTCAAGGAAGGGACAGAACACAAAAGTAATGAACAAGGGACCCCCAGGCAGAAGAGCCACAGTCCTCACAAACTGAAGAGACACACATCCCCAGCAAGGAGTAGTAATCAGTGTCAGGTCTGTTTTGCAGAGCATGTGGAAAGAAGGAAAACCTCATTAGCAATATTGTTGATAAATATCATGTATTTACAATTGCAGGTGTAAATACTACTAATTTTATACAGATGGTGATCAAGGCCCAGGCATTATAATGGGAATGTCCCAGAACAGGTTGGCAAATGGCAAGAGCAGAAGAGGTTTAGCAAACCCCAAGCAAAATGAAAAGAGAGAAAACCAGAATATTTCCTCATGGAGACAGTTAGGCAGCTAGATCAGAATTCTTGTGGACTGAGAAATAGGCATTAATTATACTAGCATCTCCCTGTATATTGTTTATAATCTATTGTATTTAATTTTGCATGAATTAGCTGTAGTAAACAGTTTGAGGTTTTCATTCTATAGTGGTAGATCAGGCTTCCTGCTATTTCCAGATAACTCCTGGAGGATCAGAGAAGAGCTTGGCAGATCTCCAAATGGACCCAGAGGGCTCTGCACTGTAACTTAATGGGCAGGAAGAAAAGAAGCAGCTGCAACCGCAAAACAGAATATGTTTGAGGACATCGTGGTTGTGAGATAAAAAGAACAAGATTTGTAGAGCCTTTGGGGCTTCAACACAACTGGGTTTAAATTCCGACTTTGCTTTTTACTTAGCACTGTGACCTTGGAAAACTCAATCCCTCTGAACCTACTTTCCTCATCTGAAAAATGGATGTGATGAGAAAGTCTCTATCCTGTGGGGAAGTACCAGAAGATGAGGCATGTATGTCATAGGCACAGCTCTTGCATGTAGGAAGAACTTAATATATGTTAGATAAAAGTTTTATAAAGGGGCAAGAATCAAGTTATTCATAGAGCAAATTAATGGGAAAGTAAATTTTTAGTAAAGCTTTGGCTGTAGAACTGGAGGGTGCTTAGGTTGTTGATAATACACAGGATATACATAATGAAGTAACTGTAAGTATGATAACATGAATTCATGGTCAGCACTGTGTGAACTCAATGTCTGACCTATGTGATTTTTCTGCTCCAACTCAATACAATCTCAGGTTGCATCCATGAAAGCATGACGTCCTGACTATTTGGAGGTATTGTCACCATTTTATATGATTCTCATTCGATAATGTTTGTGGCATTCTGTGCATTTCTTGGGGTGAAACACATTTCAAGAGGGCCACTGATGGAATAGGTTGATGGCATTGGTAGAGGGTCTGGCTATCCATGCCAAATGAGAAATGTTCGAAGGAATTGGGGATGAGTTGGAGCGTTTGAGGCTGAAAGGAGATTTGATTGCTGTCTTCAAAAGTTGAAAGGCTGATCGTGAAAGAGATTTGCCTGAGTGCAGAGGATGGAACTAAAATGGAAGCAGACGATGGCAGAATAAGGAGGCTAATAATTAGAACTTCTCTATGTTTGGATGGTCCTCTTCCTAAGCTGATTTGGCTCCTGGAAGATTCACACATAGGCTGGACACGCTGACCAGAGGAGGATAGTTTTACCTGAACTTAAAGAAATCAGAAAACCCTGGAAGGTTGTTACAGGTTTCTGTTTACTTATGGCTGCGCTAGGCCGTTACTGCTGCACGTGGGCTTTCTGTAGTTGTGGTGCACAGGTTTCTTGTGGTGGTGGCCTCTCTTGTTTCCAAGCGCAGGGTCTAGACTCTTGGGCTTCAGTAGTTGTACCTCTCAAACTCTAGCGCACAGGCTCAGAAGTTGTGTCACATGGGTTTTGGTGACCCTTGAGGTTTGATGCCCCACAGCATGTGGAATCTTCCCAGACCAGGGATCAAACCCATGTACCCTACATTGGCAGGCAGATTCTTAACCACTGGACCACCAAGAAAGTCCTATTCTAGCATTTTGACTCTAAAATTTGATATTCTCCAAGGACGGAAATAAAAAGTAGCTGCCATGAAGCCAGAGGAATCCCTCGTGCTTCTTAAGGATGATGGAAAATTTCTGTACCAGAAGGCCTGCTTTCCCAGGATCTCAGGACTCAGTGTCTCTGTATCCAGCTGTGGAAAGGTGTGACCGGACAGTTAGAGGCTCTGAGCATCAGGGGCTCAAAGTAGAATAAAGGTACATGTGAAAAAGTGGCTACACTTTTCTCTTTGCATCCTCTTGATTGTCAATCTGCTTTCGTTACTATTGACTTCTAAAGTGAAGAGTATTCATGATGTTAGGATCAAGTTTCTCAGTGCTGGTTGTATCAGACTTGGAAGGGACCCAGTGTAGTTTACTTAAGCAATTCCCCAGATTTCTTAACCACCATGAGGCAGACCATGTTTTTAAAGATGACTGCTGAAGAAACAGGAGAGCATGCTGTCTACGCTCTTGACCATCATGCCGTCCTACCTGGAGGGGATGCAGGGGAGGGTTGAAGGACAACAGTATGTGGGATCAGAAACCAGCAGCCTTCTGGAGACCAGCTCTGGAGACCACGGTCAAACTGCTCATACAAAGGCTCAGGCTCCTGGTCTCGCAAACGGAAGCAATGATAGTATCCACCTCATAGGTCAGTAACAAGGACTGATCAAACCATGAAGTGATAAAACACTTAGCCTAGTGACTTGCACTTTGCAGGCTCTCAATGAACACTGTGAATATTGGGAATACCAGACCAGCTTACCTTCTTCCTGAGAAATCTGTGTGCAGGTCAAGAAGCAACAGTTAGAACTGGACATGGAACAATGGACTGGTTCGAAATTGGGAAAGGAGTACATTAAGGCTGTATATTGTCACCCTGTTTATTTAACTTATATGCAGAGTACATCATGTGAGATGCTGGGCTGGATGAAGCACAAGCTGGAATCAAGATTTCCGGGACAATAACCTCAGATACGCAGATGACACCACCCTTATGGCAGAAAGTGAAGAGGAACTGAAGACCCTCTTGATGAAAGTGAAAGAGGAGAGTGAAAAAGCTGGTTTAAAACTCAACATTCAAAAAACTAAGATCATGGCATCTGGTCCCATCACTTCATGGCAATTAGATGGGGAAACAATGGAAACAGTGACAGGCTATTTTCTTGGGCTCCAAAATCACTGCAGATGGTGACTGCAGTCATGAAATTAAAAGACACTTGCTCCTTGGAAGAAAAGCTATGGCCAACCTAGACAGCATATTAAAAAGCAGAGATATTACCTTTCCAACAAAGGTCTGTCTAGTCAAAGCTATGGTTTTTCCGGTAGTCATGTATGGACGTGAGAGTTGGACTATTAAGAAAGCTGAGCACCGAAGAATTGATGCTTTTGAACTGTGGTGTTGGAGAATACTCTTGAGAGTCCCTTGAACTGCAAGGAGATAAAAGTGATCAATCCTAAAGGAAATCAGTCCTGAATATTCATTGGAAGGACTGATGCTGAAGCTGAAGCTCCAATACTTGGGCTACCTGATGTGAAGAACTGACTCATTGGAAAAGACCCCTGATGATGGGAAAGTCTGAAGGCAGGAGGAGGGGATGACAGAGGATGAGATGGTTGGTTGGCCTCACCGACTCAGTGGACATGGGTTTGTGTAAGCTCCGGGACTGGTGATGGACAGGGAGGCCTGGTGTGCTGCAGTCCATGGGGTTGCAAAAAGTCAGATAAGACTGAACGGCTGAACTGAACTGAATGAACACTGCTATTATAATTGGCTTTTACCCATTTCTCATGCTCTGTCATGCTAAGAATGACACAGATGGTTGACAGTTTTAATACAACTTCAAGTACTTGTTACTGTTATTATCAGCTTTCTAATTATTTGGGGAGAAATTAATTCAGAATCTGGCAATCTTGTTTACACAAAATATTTACTAAATATTAGTTATTTCTAGCCTTAAGTAGAGAGCTCTTCAAGTCTTTGATATCTTTATTAAATTTTAGCACTCCAAATGGTAAATGGAATATTTATTTGCAGACTTTCCTAGAATATACTTCCGTGTTTAAAGCTACATAAGATAATAATTGAGAATTAGTTATGAATTATTGAAGCTACAGTAGTTATAGTCACCCTGAAAATTCATCATGTAGACCCGAAAGTAAAGTGCCTGAAGAATTTCATATACCCTTAAACACTTATATTACAAGTGGAGAAGGAAAGTACTGAGTTTCTTTAACAGTGATTGAAAAATGTGTATCAGAGAAACCTGCCTTTAAAAGACTAATAGAAAAGGGGTCCAGCGGATTCTAATTACATTTGTGTGAAAAATTTCTTACTTCCTCTCAGAAATGTAAATTACTTCTTGTAAATGTTATAAAGCAGCTGTTCTTTAGCCCTTAAATTCATTATGTACTTAATTATTACAGGAGAACATATTTTACAACCAAATGGAAATTTCAAAAACTACCACAGATTACATTATGCTGTATTTTAAAAAATTTGATTATTATAATACTATTATTTCTAACCTTCCATCAAAGAGAATAAAACAAAATCTATGCCTGATTGAAACATCTATAATCAAGCAATATGAGGAATTAAAGACAAAAATAGACTGTGTTATAAAATTCCAGGCCCAAAGTTACTTTGCCTAGGTCATTAATATTTATAACTAAACTGTCCTTTCATTTGCATTAATAACATACCTTGGGATTACACAAATAATAATTCATAAATATTCTGGAAAGGGGGAAGATGCCATAATTAAATCACAGTAATTAACATGGATATTGGGTTATTATTTGAATGAATCAGAAATTCTTACTATGCAGGTTGACTTTTCCATTATATTCAGAAGGTTAATAGTCAGCAAATGAAAGATGTTATAAAAGTAACTTTTTTAGAAACACAACTGTTTCTAAAACCTGTGCTCACAACATCAACTTGTCATTGAGAAAACAGCATGTAACAAAGTTATATATTCAGTTTTTAAATATTTAAGTTGTGTATTGTGGGGCACCATGTTAATTTCATTAGTGAGAGTTTCAAAATATTAGTCCAATCAAATTGCACTGATGTTATGCTTCTTAACTGATTTTTTAAATGCAAATTTAAAAACGAGCTATTGACCCATCTATCAAGAAATGGAAGTAACTTATTTTAATATTTAATCTTTATGATGTTTGGGAGTCCTTTAATCTTCAGGCAAAGCAATTATGTACAGACCAAATTTATTAATAATTTAAATTTTCTTCTAGACTTAAAAGACTTCTCTGTGTGGTACTATTTTATAGAAACTGTATCAAACCATGGAAATGTATTATCAACATTTGAGTTCTAAACCTTAGCTGGAATTTTGACCTCTAGATATTAATTGTTGTCATTGCTGTACTATTTTTATATCCATACTGATTAGGTGATTTATCTCCAGTTTAGGTGGTCCCCAGAGCAGTAAGATAAGGTAACTGAGGCAGATGGCTCACACCGTTCTCTTTCCCCTTGTCCAGAGAATGGTGTGAGCATCTGCCTCAGTTACCTTATCTTGGTGTCTTGACTCCTTCCTCACTCGCACCTCCTGCCACAAAACCCAGAGCCCTTCTGCCATCTCAGCATCTCTTGAAAACGTCCCTTTCTTTCCCGCTTTCCCACCATCTTAATCTGAACCGCCATGATCTTACAGGTTTGCAGGAATGGTCTCCCTTTCTCCAGTCTTGATCCTTTCAGATCTATCATCCTTGTTGTAGCTGGGATGTTTCTATTGATAAAATACAAACCTGATCAGGTGTTTTATCTGCTCTTCAGCTTTCCGCACCATCAGGGTCCTGTAGCTGACTTAGCCAATACTCTGATGTCTTAGCCATCTCATCCTCAGTTAGTATTCCTTCCACTCCAAGTCAGCTACGTATTCTCTCACTGCTTCAATTTTAAAATCCAAATTTCACAGTAAATTCATGTATCTCATTCTCTGAGGAACGTCTTTCCTGTTTAGCTCCTTGGTCACCTATAGAAACAGTTCTAAGAAGACTCTGAGAGCTTTAACCCATGTTCTCTCTACCCCTCCGCCCTCTTGTGTCTTTATTCCCCTCCTCCTCATCCACTTTGAACCCATGATAATTTTGATCATATAGTATTTAATATAATGGAGTCGTCACTCTAGCTCCTCCGTGTAGGTCCGGCCTTGTCCCACCTCCATGCATATGCCCACACAGCAAGTGCTGCTGCCTGACAGCCAGGTCGAAACTGTCGCTTCCCGATCACCCCCTCCAGTGCCAGTTCAATTCTGCACTCTCCCTGACTGCTGCTTTCTGGTAAGCTCAATCTTTCATACGCTGCATGGATTTACATCTTCCAGTTTCTTAGACTTCCACTGAAGTCTGCTCCTCAAATTCACTGAGAAAACAAAAGTCAACAAAAAGGACTTTCATCAGCCTTTCCTCTCAAACTTCTATGTCTGTATCATGTTCTCCTTTCCTGAAAGAATAGAAGTTTGTCTCTCCTTCCCACAAGGAATTATTTTTCCACGTGTGCTGTGAACCCTTATTCCTTATCAAAGCCCTATCCTTGTTAAAGACAGTCACTTAGGCTCTTTCCTCTCTTTTCCGTACCATCGATCTTTCCCCTTCATTTGATCCATTTTCATTTGTTTACAAACACACTCAATTGTCTCCCATTTTAAACAAACTCTTCTGGACTCCACATACTGCTTTAGCTGCAAAGCTATATTTCTTTGTTTTTTGTAGCTAGACTTCTCCAAAGAGTTTTTTCGACACTCTCTCTCTAATTTCTCGTCTTTACAAATTCTCAACTAAAAAAAAAAAAAAGAAAGAAAAATTAACATTTATTTCTTGAGTGGCTACAATGTACCAAGCACTGTTCTAATGTTTTACATACATTAGCTTATCTAAACCCAAACAGCCCTCCTAGGTAGGGAATATTATTAACTAAAATAAACAGGTGAGGACACTGGGACAGAGAGTGGCATAATTAGGATTTGAGCCCAGGCAGTCCAGCCCCTGAACCTGCACTCTTAATCATGATCCAGTACTGCGTCTCTAGAAATAGAACATACTTATAAAGCCTCTTTGCAGTCCCCAACATATCCCTTCATTCTGTGGCCACCATTATCATTATTTTGGCAAGTATCCTTTCAATTTATGTTTTGATACTTTAAGGCATATATATCCAACTGTGAAGTTTTCTCATGTGTTTTCAGTATTTACATAAATAAACATATATTTACTATACTTACCTTACCATTCATGTTCTTGTTTTTGTTACTCATTATTGTATTTTGGAGATCTGTCATATTTCCATATATTCTATTGTATATATATATATACACACACACACACCACATTTAATTTATTCTTCTATTTTGGACTTTTGTTTGCAAATTTTATGACATTGTAAAGATGCATTAGTGAGCACCCCGTTAAGTATTTGTTTCTACTTTAATAGCCTATTTTTTTTTCCTATCATCAGTTCTTTAAACGTTATTAATACTTCTTTTGATTTTTATTACCTGGTCAATTTATGTAAATGCATCATGTGTCCCTGCAAAGAATACACATTTGATATCTGTGGAGGAAAGATTCTTTATAGATGTTAGTTCAAGTAGTTTACTGTGCTGTTTCTATATTTCCTTAACTTTTTCTGCTTAGTCTGTTGCTTTCTATAAGGAGTATATTAAAAAGATATGATGTTACGTACTTATTGATTCACAGTTTTTACCTTATAGTGTCTCTTCTTTTTCTTATTAATGCTTTTATTTTTCTTGTTAATATTAACATTCTAGCCTATATTTCTTTTGGCTCTTAGTATTTGCCTGGTATGTAATTTTTCCTTTTCTGTTAATTTTACTTTAAAAAGATCTTTGAGAAGTTTATGACTGGCTTTGTTTCTGTTTTAAATTTATTACCTTTTAATAGGTAATTTAATCCAATTGCATTAGTTTTTATTAATGCTATATTTATAATTATTTATTACATGGATTTTACTTTGCTTTTTCCTTGCTTACTCCCTCCCCCTTCTGTAGGGCTTCCCTGATGGCTCAGTTGGTAAAGAATCCGCATGCAATGCAGGAGACCGAGGTTCGATTCCTGGGTGGGGAAGATCCCCTGGAGAGGGGATAGGCTACCCACTCCAGTATTCTTGGGCTTCCCTTGTGGCTTAGCTGGTAAAGAATCTGCCTGCACGTGGGAGACCTGGATTGGGAAGATCCCCTGGAGAAAGGAAAGGCTACCCACTCCAATATTCTGGCCTGGAGAATTCCATGGACTGCAGAGTCCACGGGCTTGCAGAGTCAGGCATGACTGAGTGACTTTCACTTTCACTTTCCCCTTCTGCAGCAAGATCCAGATTTCTTTATTCCTGTTCTCCATTTGCTGTTTTGGAAGTTATATATTCTATTTTCATATCGATTTCCCCTAAAATTGACATTTACCCTAAACTTTATAATATTTAAAATTGATCAGTCTCTTTATTTTCCTCTGGAACAATTTTGGGGAGGGGTTTAGAAAGTTTTAAGTCTGTTCCTCAGCCTCTTCTAACAACCTTGTTGTTCAGTTGCTCAGTTGTGTCTGACTGTTTGCAACCCATGCACCTCAGCACACCAGTCTTCCCTGTCCTTCACTATCTCTGGGAGCTTGCTCAAACTCGTGTCCATTGAGTCAATGATACCATCCAACCATCTCATCTTCTGTTGCCCCCTTCTCCTTCTGCCCCCAGTCTTTCCCAGCACCAAGCTCTTTTCCAATGAGTCGGCTCTTCGAACTAGGTGGCCAAAGTATTGGAGCTTCAGCTTCAGCATCAGTCTTTCCAATGAATATTCAGGGTTGATTTCCTTTAGAATTGACTGGTTCGGTCTCCTTGCTGTGCAAGGAACTCTTAAGAATCTTCTCCAGGACCACAGTTAGAAAACAACAATTCTTCGATGTTCAGCCTTCTTTATGGTTTAACTCTCACATCCAGACATGACTACTGGAAAAACCATAGCTTTAACAAGATGGACCTTTGTCAGCAAAGTAATGTCTCTGCTTTTTAATATGCGGTCTAGGTTTGTTGTATCTTTTCTTCTAAGGAGCAAGCATCTTTTAATTTCATGGCTGCAGTCACCATCTGCTGTTATTTTGGAACCCAAGAAAACAAAGCCTGTCACTGTTTCCATTTCCCCACCATCTGTTTGCATAAAGTGGCAACCTTGTTCAATTTAAATTTTGTCTGTTAAGTTAGTTAAAACTTGTTTTTCATACCCTGCCCAAATTAGTCAATTATTATTATAAATAAGCCATTGCTTACTTATATTTACCCACATAAATATAAATTTCTTTCCTCACTGTTGCTTCATACTCTTTTTTCCTTCCTCCTGGGTTTAATTTCCTTTTTGCTGTAGTATGTCACAGTAGTTCTCTCAGAGAGTGTCTATGAGTGTAAATCTCAGTCTCTGATGTTCTAAAGATGTTTTTATTTTGCGTGAATTCCTCTATCCTAATTTAGATGGAAAAGCACTTTAGGTTGAGCTTTTTTCCATGAGTGCTTTAGCAATATTATCTCCAGCATCTATTGTTACAGACTCTCAGTCTAATTTATCATTTTATAAGTCTTTTCCTTAGATTACACTTAACATATCTTTTATATCTTTCAACTACTGCAGTGCCAAGAAGAAAGTTATAACTGTGGACTTTCTTGTTTTCTTTTTTATTAAAGTATAACTGACTTGGAGTATTATAGTAGTTTGAGGTATACAACATAGTGATTTGATATTTTTATATATTACAAAATAATCACCACGAGAAGTCCAGTTGCCATCTGTCATCATACAGTTATTACAATATTATTTGATTACATTCCCTAGGCTCTATATTACATTTCTGTGATTTATATATTTTATAATTGGAAGTTCAGACTTCTTAGTCTTCCTTAACCACTTCCCTACTATTTCCCCTCTGACATCTACCAGTTTCTACTCTGTATCTGTGACTCTATTTCTATTTTATTTCTATAAAACACTTGCTTGTTTTACTTTTAGATACCACATATAAGTGAGATGAAACAGTATCTGTCTTTATCTGACTTGTTTCACTTAGCATAATATCTTCTAGGTTTATCCATGCTTTTGCAAATGGCAAGATTTTATTTTTTATGGCTAGGTAATACTCCACTATATATATACACTATATGTATACACACACACACACATATACACACATGTATATGTATATATGTATGTAGTATAGGTATGGTATATATATTATAGTCACCATACCTTCTTTGACTGTTTACTTATCAGTGGACACAGGTTGTTACCATATCTTGGCTACTGTAAATAATGACCTGATGAACATAGGGTTGCATGTATCTTTTTGAATTAGTGGGTTTTTTTTTTTTTTTAGAATTTAGAATTAAATTAGAATTTGTTTTCTTCATGTAAATACCTAGAAATGAAATTGCTGAATCCGCTGGTAGTTCTATTTTTAATTTTCTGAGGAATTTCCGTACTGTTTTCCACAGTTGTAATACTACCAGCAGTATGAGGGTTCCTCTTTCTCTCCAACCTTGCCAACACTTGTTATTTCTTGTCTTTTTGATAGTAGCCATTCTGACAGGTATGAAGTGAAATTTCATTGTGATTTTGATTTACATGTCCCTGATTATTAGTGATTTGTGCCTCTGTGCATCCTCAGTCATGTCTGACTCTTTGCTACTTTTTGGCCTGTAGCCTACCAGGCTCTTCTCTCCATGGGATTTTACAGGCAAGAATATTGGAGTGGGTTGCCATTTCCTCCTCCGGGGCATCTTCTCGACCCAGGGATTGAGTCCATGTTTCCTGCAAGTCTCCTGCATTGTAGGCATGTTCTTTACCTTCTGAGCCACTGGGAAAGCCCTGTTACTAGTTATATTGAGCAGCTTTTTGTGTGCCGGCTAACCATGTTTCCTTTGGAAAAATGTCCATTCAGATCCTCAACCCATTTTAAATAAAGCTGTTTGTTTTTTTGATGTTGAGTTTATGAACTCTTTATGTATTTTCAATATTAATCTCTTATCAGATATATTAGTTACAAATATTTTCTCCCATTCAGTTGACTGCTTTTGCATTTTGTTGATAGTTTTCTTCACTGTGTAAAACTTTTTGGTTTCATTTGCTCCCATTTGTTTATTTTTGCTTTTGTTTTCCTTCCCCAAGGAGACATATCCAAAAAACTATTGCCAAGACTGAAGTCAAAGAAGCATGCTGCCTATGTTTTCTTCTAGAAGTTTTATGGTTTCTGGTCTTACATTCAAGTCTTTGTCCATATAGAGGTTTTGTGTGTGTGTGTGTGTTTTATGTATGATGTGAGAAAGCAGTCCAGTTTGATTCTTCGGTATGTAGTTGTCTAGTTTTCCCAACATTATTTAGTGAAGAGGCTATCTTTTTCCCATTGTGTGATCTTGCCTCCTTTGTTATAGCCTAATTGACCATGTAAGAGTTGTACCATAAAGAAGGCTGAGTACAAAAGAATCGATGCTTTTGAACTGTGGTGCTGAATAAGACTCTTAAGAGTCTCTTGGACTGCAAGGAGATCAAACAAGTCAATCCAAAAGGAAATTAACCCCGAATATTCATTGGAATGACTGATGCTGAAGCTCCGATACTTGGGCTACCTGATGCGAAGAGCCGACTCATTGGAAAAGACCCTGATGCTGGGAGAGACTGAAGGCAATAGGAGAGGGAGGTGGCAGAGGATGAGAAAGTTAGACAACATCACTGACTCAATGGACATGAATTTGAGCAAACTCTGGGAGATAGTGGAGGACAGAGGAGCCTGGCCTGCTGCAGTCCATGGGCTTGCAAAGAATCAGACACGACTTAGCCGCTGAACAAAAACGAGTATGGTTCATTTCTGTGCTCTGTTTTCTTTTCTCTTGATCCATGTGTCTATTTTTGTTTATGATACCATCCTGGTTTGATTAGTTTGTGCCCGTACCAACTGCTTTGATTATACTACTGTAGCTTTGTAGTATAGTTTGAAATCAGAGAGTGTGTGGTACTTCCAAATCTGTTTTTCTTTCTCAAGATTGTTTTGGCTAGTTGAGATGTTTTCGGGTTTTCACAGAAAGTTTAGATTTATTCTGTGAAAAACGCCACTGGTATTTTGATAGAACTTGTATGAATTTGTAGATTGCTTTGGGTTGTATGGTCACTGTAGCAACATTAGTTCTTCCAGCCCATAAATATGGTATATCTGATTTTTAAAAAAAGTGTTTATTTGACTGTACCAGATCTTAGTTAAGGCATGCTGGATCTTTAGTTGTGGCATGTGGGAATCTAGTTCCCTGACCAGGGATCGAACCCTGACCTCCTGCATTGGGACGTGGAGTCTTAGCCCCTGGACCACCAAGGAAGACCCAGCAGGATATATATCTTTCCATGTGTTTGTGTCATTGTCAATTCTTTCATCAATGTCTTAGAGTTTTCTAAGTGTATATCTTTTTCTCCTTTGTTAGATTTAGTTCCAGTTATTTTATTCTTTTTGATGTAGTCATACATGGAATTGTTTCCTTCAATTCTCTTTCTGATAGCTCATTGTTAGTGCAACAGGTTTCTATATACTAACTTTGTGTTCTACTTTACAGAATTCATTTACTAATTCTAATAGATTTTGGTGACATCTTTAGAATTTTCTGTATATAATATGCCATCTGCAAAGAGTGACAATTTTACTGCTCTTTTTCCGATTCAGATGCCTCTATTTTTTTTTTTTTTCCTGGTCTAATTGCTGTGGCTAGGACTTCCAATACTATGTTGAATAAAAGTGATGAGAGTGGGCATCTCTGTCTTGTTCCTGATCTTAGAGGAAAAGCTTTCAGCTTTTTACCACTGGGTGTGTTGTTAGCTGTGAGTTGATCATAAGTGGCCTTTATTATATTGAGGTATGTTCCCTCTATACATATCTTGCTGAGAGTTCTTATCACAAATGAATGTTGAATTTTCTCAAATACTTTTTCTATATCTCAAGATGATCAAATGATTTTTGTTCTTTAATTTGTTAATCATGTGTATCAAATTGATTTGCAGGTGTACTATCTTTGGATCTCTGGAACTAATTCCATTTGATCATAGTTTATGATTCTTTTAATGTATTGTTAAGTTTGGTTTGCTAATATTTTGTGGAGGATTTTTGCATCTATGTTAATCAGTGGCCTCTAATTTTCTTCTTTTTGTGATGTCTTTTCCTGGTTTTGGTATTAGGATGATACTGGCTTTTTAGAATAAAATATTGTATTGTATATTCAGAATACAGAAATATTCCCTCCTCTTAAATTTTTGAAATAATTTGAGAAAAGCATGTGTTAGTTCTTTAAATGTTTGGTAGTATTAGCTAGGTGTCCATCTAATATCAAGATAATTTTTATTTTTAAATGAATTTCTGATCACAATAATTTATTTTTGCTTTTTGTTTATTTCTTATTACTGTTATTCCTTCTGGCATTACTTATTATTTATTATTTTAACTTTATTTCTTCTATTTTTTCTGTGTTTGCTTTTCTCATTCTGAAAGAGAGAATTTAAATTATTTTCATGAGTGTAAGGACATGGTGATCCAATAAAAGACTTACTCATATTAGATCTTGGTTTTCAGACTTCCTGATGGATGCTTAATATGCTAGGTCTTATTTCTCCTCTGGGACTAAAGTTACAGTACCAGAACTGAGATAAACTTAACCCTAAATTATGTGCTGTCAATATATTTTAACCAGAAGCCTAAAATCGCTTCAGAGTTTGATTCTGAAAGTCACAAATTTTGAACTCTGCCTGTGTTTGATTGCTCATGTAATATTAAACCCTAGTTGAGCCTTAATTTCAAGAAATATGAACCAAATGAGGATTTCAAGTACTGCTGAACCTATGGAAAGTAGTTTCTTTACACTTGCTAAAATATACAAATAATGAGCTGTTTCTGATGGATGTTTTTGAATTCACTTGTCATATTTTAAAAATGGTCAGGAGTTATTAGTGGTCAGGATACTGTTCCACATGTTTTCATTTCATGGTATTTCTATCTGGATGACTGCTAGGCATCTCAAACATAATGCGAAAACTCTTCACATTTACCTCTCCTTCCCCAACCTATTTTCCTCCAGCCTTACATCTTAATAAAATCATCAGTTGTCACCAGTCATTCCAGCCCCAAACTTGGAAGTCATTTTCAATTTCTTCTTTTCTCTTTCCTCCCATAAGCAATCCATCAGCAAGTTCTATCATTTCAGTTTCCAAAAACACAGTCTTTCTTTCCAGTTCCTCTGCCACAACCTTGGAGTAAGTCATCATCTTCTCCCGCCTGGCTGCTCCTACCGCCCTTTCTCTAACTGTTTCTGCTTCCCAGGCCGTTTGGCCATGAGCTGTGTGCTTCTAACCACTGTAGTTGGCTGCCTCTTGCCTGCTTGTTTCTGCCCTTGGAATAAAACCCAAACTCCTTAGCATAGCCATTGCCTTTGGCAGCATGGAGCGCATTAACAGCTTCTGTGAGAAACTTCAGTGAAGCTGTGCCTTGAAGAGCCGTCTGCTGAGGGGGAAGGAGCCAGCGGCAGTTTAGGAATTGTGGCTAGCCAGTCAGCATTTTGGGAATTTTGATATGAAGATGAGGGGAGGGGTAACGGGGAAACAAAAGATGGCCTGAGGGATAGAAGAGTGTTTTTTTTCTTTCCTCTTCTTTTTTTTCCGCTTGGCCACACTGCACAGCTCGTGGGATCTTAGTTCCCTGACCAGGAGCTGAATCTGGACCACAGCAGAGACAGCTTGGAGTCCTAACCACTGGACTACCAGGGGATTCCCAAGGAGTGGCTTTGTTTTGTTGAGAAAAGGGAGACTTGGCGCAATCTCATACAGGGAAGGAGGCAGAGTAGAAAAGCTCGAAATACAGGGTGAAAAGATGGCAGAATAATGCCTCTGAAGGGGCAAGGAGAAGTGGGTGATTTAGTCTAGACTCTACACTAGTTATCGGTTGCTAAGTAACAGATTACCTGAAAATTTAGCAGCTTATATGATAAACGTTTAATATCTTACGTAATTTCTGAAGGTCAGGAATCTGAGAGCTGCTTAGCTGGGTAGTTCTGGCTCCAGATGTCTTGGGAGGGTGCAGTTAAGCTGGCGGCCAGAGCTACAGTCTCTGAAGACTTGACTGGAGCTGGAGCAGCTGCGTCTGAATGGTGACAAGGAGCTTATGTTTCTCACCACACAGGCCTCCCCATAGGGCTGCTGATGACAAGGTTTCTAGGGCAAGCGATCCAAGAGCGTGTAAGAAAGCAGAAGCCCAAATAGACGCTGCTGTGCCTTTCGTAAGCGAACGTTGGTGTGATGGCGTCGTTTACCATCAGTTCTGTTTGTACGCGTTAATCCTGGGACAGTGTGGGAGGACGACAAACGGCGTGAACACCAGCAGGCGGGGATCACTGGGGTCCACCTGAGAGGACGGCTAGCACAGAACTCACGTGTCCTTCTGCTCTGTCAAAGGCAGTGTGGGAGACCCGGGAGGAAAGCGAGCAAGAGGCTGACCTGTGGCTTCGGGTCTCTCAGTGAAGCAGGAGGCAGCGGCGTTCTCTGAGAGCGAGAGGGTGGAAGCGGGAGTTTGGAGGCGGGGGCTGAGGTTTGGAACCCCTCCTCAGGAGAATGGGAAAGCAGCCCCTTCCATGTGGAGAACCGTCAGGCCAGGTTGGGGTGAGAGCTCGTTCTGATGAAATAGAAAATAAAAAACATGCAGATGCACCATCTTGCCTGATGGTGTGATTTTTCTCCCTCAGATGCAGAGACGCAGAAATGGTGACGCTGGGTGTTTGGTGCGATCCAGCATGGGGCTTTTGTTTAAAGAACGGTGTTGAGGCAAAAGAAGACAAGATAATTGTGGGAAATGGTTTGAGAGTGATTGAGATAATTCATCATGGGCTGAGAGGAAGGACATGAAGCCATAGGTAGCTGGAAGACGTGAAAAAATGGAGAGACCAAGGAACTTAACGTTTTGATATGATTGAAGTGAAGGTAAAACTAGAGGGAGCGGGGAGGGCTGGATGCAGGAGACGGCGGTTTAGAGATGACTTTGGGGTTCAAGAGATTCCACGCAATGGACGTGAGAAAATGCCTTAGGAAAGTATGTTTAAAATGAACTAGATTTTTAAAAACCTAGACTTGTATACTCCATACAGCAGGGGATTATTTATCAGTCAACATGTGTTTGTTGAGCTAAAGCTACATGTCCACAAATGTGTGAGATCCTGTGGGTGATTAAACCAATGAAAGTATGCTTCTTTCCACCACAGGCTCTACGGCCGAATTTCTTGATTTACCAAAGTATTTTTCACTTTGTGCTAGAATACATCACAGGTTTTCTAAAATAACAAACATTGTCCTCTCTAGGCACTGTACCATAGAATTTGAAATACACAAATGGATGTTGCAGACCAATTTAAACAAATGTCTTGTGTAAAGTAAATGTAGGTGCTTTCTCAGTGTTCCTAGTTTGGAAAATATTTCCGAAAACTACTTTATTACAATAAATTGTTAGCAACTCTAAGAAGAGTGGTTCTCAACCATGTGGTCCCAGTAAGCAGGATAGATACCATCTGGAAACTTGTTAGAAATGCAGATTCTAGGACCCCACCTGAGATCTGGAAGGGAAAGTGCTAGTTGTTCAGCCATGTTTGACTCTTTGTGACCCAATGGATTGTATAGCACACTGGGGCTCCTCTGTCCATGGAATTCTCCAGATAAGAATGCTGGAGTGGGTTGCTATTTTCTTCTCCGGAAGATCTTCCCGACCCAGGGATGGAACTTGGAGCTCCTGCATTGCAGGCAGATTCTTTACCATCTCAGCCACCAGGGAAATTAGAAACTCTGGGAGTAAAGTCCAATAATCCACATTTCAAAAATCTCTTTAGGTGATTTGATGACCTCTGAAGTTTGAGAACTTACATGGAAGATATTAAAATAATAATAAAACAAAGTAAAAAAAAAACTAAATAGGATAACTCCTCCCTCTTTGAATTTTAGTTTGTACTTCAGAATTACTGACAAAAGCTATTTTTAATATTGTCATAAATAGTTCAGTGAAAAAAATACCATTTTAATGTTACTAATACTTCTGGTTCTTATAACTTCTTCACAGATACTTTCTACTAAAATCTTATGGTACAAAGTCCAATAAAGAAAGTAAAATTCTATTTTGTAAGAAATAATGTCTCTTTATAAGGCAACTTTTAATAGTTGAGATGAAAGTTCAGGGTCTTTGTTTTAGATAGTGGATTTGCCCATTCTATTGCCCTTAACTAATTTACTTACCCCTGCTTAGCCCTTAAAACACATTAAAAATAAGTATAGTCCAAATACTCAATTATTAACTTCTCACTATTTTGATAGTTGCAACTATTTGAGTATACTGTTCTACATATAATTGCTGTATATACTATTTTCCCTAAAACTCTGTATAAATTTAAAAAAAGAGTTTGTCAAATTTCAGTTTTCTATCATAAATGAGTATTGAATTTTGTCAGAATCTTTCTATGCATCTAGTGAGATGATCATATGATTTTTATCTTTCAGTTTGTTAATATGGTATGTCACACTGATTGATTTGCATATACTGAAGAATCCTTGCATCTCTGGGATAAAGCTCACTTGATCATAATGTATGATCCTTTTAATGTGTTGTTGGATTCTGTTTACTAAAATTTTTTGAGGATTTTTCCATTCAGTTTTCTAAAATAGACAAATACTTTATTTATTCATCGATACTGGGGAAAGAATTCTTCCATGCAAATGAGTTTTCTAGGAACCTGACCTATGTTGTATATCTACAGCTATTATTATTTAGATTTATGTCTATAAAATTAGAATATTGTTTGGTAAGGTGACCAGTTTGATTTTTCACTATTGAAGCTCTGTTTTGAGTACATTTTATAACATCCTTCTCTTCTAATTAAATAAATGTTTATGGAACACCTACTGTTTTCATGAACTGCATTGGGTGGTTAGAGGGATAAAGAGATGAGTGAGAGAAATCACTAAGATGGCGCCGTAAAAGGAGCCCGAATTTCCTTCCTCCCAACGTTCACTGGGTATACAGCCACACAACGGTCAGTTTCCTCTGAGAGAAATTCAGAAACAATTTGAGCGACTCCTCCACAATGGGCAGCTGAGAAAACACCCACACTGAAACAGGTAAGAAAGGCTGAGACTCTCTCCGCATAAACCTCACCTCCAGGTATGTTGCCTTATGGTCGGGAGGGAACCAACAAATCCCAGCTTCCCCCTGAGGAGTGGAGTGTTTGGATCACACATATGGTGCCCCAGCTTTTACGTCCAGACTGTTGTTATAGGGTTTACCTGTAGTGCTTGGAACTTGTTGCCGTTCATTTTATATGTAAAATGTTAAGTGAGAGGACCTACCCCTGACTTTTTTCCCTGAGGTGTATTACTTGGCAATGTTTTGCCTCTAGCATTCTAGTATGAAGCGTGTAATTAGAGTAGCATAACAACTGTGTTGGGTTTGTATCTGCTGTATATCAACTGCTTGCATTGCTAATTTTGCAGGGTTACATTTGGGTTTTCATGGATGATTTTTTGTTGTAAACCATCTTCTACATACATAACTTTAAAAGACCCTAACCCTGTTCAGTGCTTTCCTCTCCCCCCCAATGTTAGCTTGAGCTTATTCAGTTTTCTTGAAAATACTCCAAAAATTTTGTAGAACTTTTAAATTTCTGCAAATTTGCATGATTAGTAAGACCTACTGGACCTTCAATGGAAATGACAAATGTAGTGCTTCAGGAAAACCAGAAAAAGCCAAATTTCAATGTCTTTATCACCAGGGAGAATGAACCTTATCCCAGGGATGGGCTGAACAGATATTATCAGTGGTGAGGCAAGAGAGAAGTGAACTATGGAATTAGAATTTAAAATTCACAGCATGAATCTGAATATTAGAGATAACTTATATATTGACCCTTCTGATGTTTAACAGACTAAAGCCTTCAATTTGCATTTCATTAAATATTAGAAATCAGATAGGATTTCTGTTGTTTCTAATTAAAAAAAAAACACCTCTTACCAAATTACATTTGAGTCATTAATTTAAGAAATTATCATGAGCTCTTCATTGCAAAATTCAGACTGTAATGGAAGAAAGTAGGGAAAACCAGTAGGCCATTCAGCTATGACCTAAATCAAATTCCTTATGATTAAACAGTAGAGGTTATGAATAGGTGCAAGGGATTAGATCTGGTAGACAGGGTGAAGAACTATGGATGGAGGTTCATTACATTGTACAGAAGGCTGTGACCAAAACTATTCCAAAGAAAAAGAAATGCAGGAAGGCAAGAAGTTGTCTAAGGAGGCTTTACAAATAGCTGAGAAAAGAAGAGAAGTAAAAGGCATGGCTGAAAGGGAAAGATACAATCAACTGAATGCAAAATTCCAGAGAATAGCAAGGAGAGATAAGAAGGCCTTCTTTAATGAACAATGCAAAGAAATAGAGGAAAACAATAGAATGGGAAATAGCAGAGATCTCTTTAAGAAAATTGGAGATATCAAGGGAAAATTTCATGCAAGGTTGGGCACGATAAAGGACAGAAATGGTAAGGACCTACAGAAGCAGAAGGTATTAAGGAGAGGTGACAAAAATACACATAAGAAGTATACAAAAAAAGATCTTAGTTACCTGGATAGCCATGATGGTGTGGTCACTCACCTAAAATCAGATATCCTGGAGTGTGAAGTCAAGTGGGCCTTAGGAATCATTACTACAATCAAAGTTAGTGGAGGTAATGGAATTCAAGTTGAGCTATTTCGAATCCTAAAACATGATGCTGTTAAAATTCTGCATGCAATATTTCAGCAAATTTGGAAAACTCAGTAGTGGCCACAGGACTGGAAAATGTTGTTGTATTGCATTGTATTTGCAAAGAAGGGTGATGCCAAAGAATGTTCAAACTACTAAACAGTTGTGCTCATTTCACATTCCTTCAAGTTAAGCTTCAGCAGTACGTAACTGATACCTTCCAGATGTACAAACCAGGTTTAGAAAAGGCAAAGATACCACAGATCAAATTGCCAATGTTCTCTGGATCATAGAGAAAGCAAAGGAGTTTCAGAAAAACCTCTATTTCTGCTTCATTGACTACCTTAAAGCCTTTGTCTGTGTGGATCACAACAAACTCTGGAAAATTCTTAGAGATGAGAGTGCCAGACCACTTTACCCATTTCCTGAGAAACCTGTATGCTGGTTCAGAAGAAACAATTAGAACTGGACATGTAATAACAGATTGGTTTCAAATTGGGAAAGCAGTGTGTCAAGGCTGTATATTGTCACCCTGCTTATTTAACTTACATGCAGAGTACATCATGAGAAATGCTGGGCTGGAAGAAGCACAAGATGGAATCAACACTGCCAGGAGAAATATCAACAACTCAGATATGCAGATGATATCACTTTAATAGCAGAAAGCTAAGAGGAACTAAAGAGCCTCTTGATGAGGGTGAAAGAGGAGAGTGAAAAAGCTAGCTGGAAGCTCAACATTCAAAAAATAACTAATATCATGGCATCCAGTATCATCACTTCATGGCAAATAGAT